AACTATATATAAATAGAACAAGAATGTAGTAATATGAGTAGATTGGAGTTGGGAAACATTTGCAAGTAATGAGAATTTTGTAAAGTGAGCATTTGTGTATCCTTAATAGTTGCCAAACTCCAGTGAAAACATGTATATTGAAATATAATGGAGTGTATATGTAAAGAAAGAAGAAAGCAAATATATATTTAGAGGGTTAAAGCCTATCATGATTGCGATGGGGAGTGAATATTTGTCTCTCAGAGGCCAATAAAAGTTAATTGGAAAACTAGCATAAGTGACTGTGCAATTACATATATAAAAGAATTATACTGAAGAGCAAAGATGGAAAATCCAGTTTAATGATGGAAAATTAGCTCTGCAGTCAGAAGAAAAAGCAAATGATAAATGCTGAAACATGATATGCCAAGAAATGAGTGGAGAAGAGAGAGAGAGAGAGAGAGAGAGAGAGAGAGAGAGAGAGAGAGAGAATTATAACAGTAGCAGTTTTAATTCAGAACAGAGAAAGAAGGGGAAGTCTTTCCTGTTCCCAATATAGGCATATCAAAACCCCAAACAGAGGATTCTACACCTTCTGTGAAACAAAGGATGTTTTCTCTTGTGTGTCGCACTTACTCTGAGGACTACCGTGTAAGAAACTCCCAGCTTGTCCAGAAGACATATAACAAGGTTTATTACTCTAAATATGAAGGAGAAAATAAGCATAGTTCAGGTCTTGGGAAAGAACATACTTTCAGCAGAACAGTAGGGAATATTATCTAAAGCCTTGTTTTAAACCTTTTAATAATAATAATTAGATATAAAATTACTGTATTAAGATTGCAATTTAAAGAAATGTATCAGAAAAACACAGGTAGTCCTTGACTTACAACCATAATTGAACCTGAAATTTTGGTCATTGTATTACTAAATTGAGTTACCTTGTGACCCAACCCAATTTTACCATTGTTTTTATAATGGTTGTTAAGAGTCACCATAGTCATTAAGCAAATCATATGGTTATAAATCCTTATCAATTTTTTTTTTGTCGAAAAAAGCAAAAAGTGTCTGAAAATGTGATCTAAAAATGTGAGCTGTTTGCCAAGCAACTGAAATGCAATCATATGATTACGGGAGGGTTGGGTGTGTAGCATGGCAATCATAATTACGAGAATGGGTCATAAGTATCTTTTTTTGACTCTGTTGTAACTTCAGTTGTTAAGCAAATAGCCATAACAATTTTACATCAGTGATGTCTTTATAAAGGGAACCATAAGGGCTCTAAAGGAAAAAAGAAAGGTGGATCTGTACTCTCAACTGGTTATAATGTTCAACTTTAGTTTGTGAAGAACATCATCCAAATCTGGATTAAATGTTACTGTAAGGTATGATTTATATGCATTGATAATAATTGGTTTTATTTGTTTACCACAAAGCGGAATTGTACTCCCAGAAGAGAGGCCTGTTCATATTCAAAGATCTATTCAGTCCTTTTTATTTTTTACTAGCTGATAACCCGGCATTGCCCTGGTATTTATTTATCCCAATCCTGTATTAGACAGGAAAGGAAATGAACTATACGTATAGTGTCAAATCAAAGTAAATTTTATTTACAGGATTTTAAAAGTATAAGTATACTCCCTCTCCCTTGTTCTACCTCTTCCCTGCTCTGCCCAGCTGGACTTTGCCCTTCCCCAGTTTCCTCCACAGCCAATGGATCCACACTCCCACTCCCTGTCAGCTGTTCCTCTTCCTCCTTGGATTCAGACTCTGACAGGGGCATGACACATGGTGATCTCAAATCCACTGTGCAGTACTTAATAGACTGACCCTGTGACTTTTTGATTGTGATGGAGAATGCAACTCTTACTGGAAATAGCAGTCTCTTAAAGTTAAAAGGGAGATCCTTTGGAATGAGTGTTATCTGTAGGATAAAAACTGTTTCACCCTCTCCCTTTCCTGTTAAATTAGTCACTTCAATTACATTGCCCAGCATCTTCTTTACACACAGCCTTGTGCCATTACAAAGTTTTGGCGGATCGAAGTTCCTTAGTAAAATAATCGGAGATCCCACTTTAAATAAAAGATGATGTGGTGGTAATCCTGCCGGATCAAGTGAGTTTAGGAACTGTGGTAGGAAATTGATGACCTCATTGGCATCTATGATGGTATTGATAGACTTGTATTCACTGACTATGCCTGATAACATGACAAGTATTTGATTGTTCATGCTGCAAGTAGTCTTTATATGCATCATAGTGGAATCCTTCCAATTCTAAGCTTAAATGTTGCAGAGTCTGTGATTGTCTGGCTCTCTCTCTCTTATGCTGTAGTCGGGCTTCACGCTGTTGTACTGCCTCTGAAGCTTTAGATGTAACAGCTCTATCTCTCTTATAGTGTAGTCGGGCCTCACAATGTTGTACTGTTTCTGAAGTTCTAAATGTAGCAGCTCTCTCTCACAACATCGCAAGTCATCTGTTCCTCTCCTCAGAAGTTTCTTGTCTATACTGGTGTTTCATTTTTATAGCCTTTGATTGCACTTGGCCAATCGTCTGATGTTTCTTTGGAGGCATCGTTATAGGAATGAAATATATTAATATGGAACACAATAAAGTAAATGTAAGAAAAAGACACTTGGGCCTGGCCCTGTTACCTCAACCACTGTGGTGAGAATTAGAGACCTAATTGTCCTGGCCAACAGCCTTGGAAAAATTCTACAGGGAACAGCCTTTGAGGTGATTATCTGCATTAGCAGGCACTTCCCCCGACAACTTGCCCTCTTTGCTTGAAGATGAGGGCATAGGGTGCTTGTTTTTTGTTTTTTAAAAAACCAATCCCCCTTACCAGAGGGAGCCCCCTTGTTTTTTGTTTGTTTTTAAAAGCCAATCCCTCTTACCAGAGGGAGCCTCCTTATGGAGTACCATGAAGCCGTTACCATGGCAACTCCACTGTGCTGTACAGTAGAAGTCATTTAAAGGCACAATAGGCTGTATTTTAACAAAACTTGAATCCAAAATTCACACTATCACTGTCAAAAGTACTGTGATTTGACACAATAGATATAATTCATTCATTTTCATTTCAACAGATCAGGTGTTCCAGAGTTATGCTGGAACACACAGAGACAGACAGACAGACACACACACACACACCGAGGTTTTTCCAGAGGGTAAGTCATCTGTCTACTACATTGGTTGAAATTGCTCGAGGCTATCCAGAGTTATGCTGGTACATGCACACACACACACACACACACAAACGTGTGTGTATGTGCGTGTGTATATATTTGTATGTGTGTGTATACAGTATGTATGTGTGTGTATGTGTGTGTGTGTATTTTCTTAAGTTTTCGCGGGTACTTACAGCCACATAAATTATACAGGTAGCTGAGTGTGGGTATTGTGAGATACACTGAGTAAATGTCTCAGTAATGCAGATTTGTTCTTGGGTTTGGAGGAAAAGTTGAAGTTGTGGTTATTTAAGAGTCACAGGAAATTCTTAAAAATACATTCTACAATAATCTATGAAAAGACCTAATTTATCAGACCTTATTTAGACTTGGTTTTCTGGTGAGCAAATCATGAACATTAAAGTGGTATTTCATGGTCCTTGGTAGCTAGTATTCAATGGTCTTTAGATGTTTACCTTACTGTTTATAGTTTATAATACATATTTGATGAAAACCCTGTAAAGCTGGTGATTTTACTGGAAGATTTACAAGGAGAAATGTAGCAGTGGTGGGTACTTTTTTCCCTTAGGCATGCGGTACATAAAACTATGATTTAATATTTTCATGTAGTGATTCAGTACATAGTGCAAAATGTATTTCAATTCAAATATTTTAATGAATCTTAGGCAAAAAATATTTTGAATTGTTTCAAATAAAATGCTTGTAATTTCCATTGTAACCCTTATTGGTCCTATGGCCCAAGCCCAAAGACAGCGCAGTGTGTTCTATTCGAGTCCAATACACCTAATGGACAGAATCTTACCAAACTAAAGCTATAATTCTCTACTCCAATAGGTATATCCAGAGAGATATTGGAGTATGATTACCCTTAACTTCTTCCCTCCTCCCCCATGCAGCTTAGGACTGTACAATCTCTTAATTTGGGCTTCTCTTTGATGGAATACAACAACACCTTCCTGGGAAAGTTCTATGTTGCCACAACACCTTTCCAGGTGCACTTTATTTCATACCTTATATGTTACTACTCTACTGTATTCCAGGGAGATTGCAAAGGTAATACAACTTATTTTTAAAAGTAAATTTTGGACTTCTTTGTCTTTAAATCATTATACAAAGAAAAATGAAAGATACAGACAACATCACTATTTTGCTTTTGCTTTTTTACTACAAGCCATTACTGCTGATAGAGAAAAAAATTCATACATGCTAAGAACTAAACCAAAAATAAACATTAAAAGGTAAATGACCATTTTCACTTACATAGTGGATCACTATAATTGATATTTCCATTTGAATAAATTGAATTCCATTTTTTATGATAAATTCTAAGAAAGTTCCTTCAAGCATGAATAAACATTAGCTATTACTTTAGGAACTGCCTCATAACATGGTAAGATGGAAACAATTGCTAGTCATTAAGAATGGGTGTTATTCTGAAATACCACAGATATGGAAAAACATATTCACAGATTCCAGAAGCTAAAAGTGAAGCCACAAAATTAAATAACTAATAAAATGCCCACTGACAAGGCCAAGCTTTATTTATTTTCATAAGTCTTGAAAGTACTTGCTGACTCTTACATAACAAAGTTAAGGGGTCATGGGTGATACATAAACTGGGGATAAAACTTAAAATTTGCAGGGCAAAATAAGTCATCAAAAATTAAATGAAAAAATATGATGATATAATTATCTAATTTATTTCATCACTTAAAATGTAATTTCAAACTTATCTGCTTGAATAATGAGTCTGGATCCGTGATGGTGAATCTATGGCACGTGTGCCAGAGGTGGCACGCAGAGCCCTCTTTGTGGGCATGCCCGCCGTCACCAGCTGCTCTTCTGGGTTCCGACGCACACTTGCATGCCGGCCACCTGGTCCAGCATGCATGAGCACCGGCCAGCTGCTCTCTTCCAGGTTCCGGTGCTCCGGCATGCGCACACGCACACACACGTGTTTCAGTTTCGGCACTCGGTGCCAAAAAGCTTAACCATCAGTGGTCTAGATCAATTTTTCATAAGCTTATATCGTTCAACAACTGTGTCACTAAATTCCAGAGACTGTACCACACTCTTGCCATTTATGTTTTAGTTTATGTGTGCAGTCTATATTATATTAAAGTGTATTTATACTTTGTTTATATTTTACTCAAAAAAGCACACATGAAAATCTGTCCAAATTTTATCCTGGAATGAGACAACTCGCTGCAGCCAACTCACTATCACCAACTCACTGCGGGACAACTCATCAAGGGACAATTGAACAGTTCAATTTAATTATTTAACACAAATTTTAAAATATTTTAATTTTTGTCATTCACATTTCATTTTGTCCCTCCTTTTGTATCCTTTCTTTAATGATTCTATTCCACCATTTGATATTAGTATAACTCTTGTCCTGCAGCAAGTTGTCCTGCAGGAAGTGGGCTATGGCCAATTGCCCCACAGAGAATTGGCCGCAAGTCATTTTATCTTCTAATTCCACCCTTCAGGCTAAACATAAAAACAAATACATAGACCATAGTGATTCAGGGCTGAGTTCCCCACTAGACCAGATGATAACTATGGTTTTCTCAACAAGTCATAAAATAGTTAAAGTTTCAGGTAAAGTCAAACTATAACAAGTCAATTAAACTAATTATATTATGGCTTAGCACTGTGAATAAATCAGGTCACTGTCTCCTTAGTTCAATGAGAATTTCACTTTTTATAGTACAATATATTAACCTGTTTTCAGGCTAAGCCCAAGAATGACATTGAACAATCCAGCCAGAATTCAGTTCTTTATTTGCTTACATACAATATACAGAATCTTGCCAGATTAACTTTTACTATTCACATCCTGGGAGATTTTAGGGAGTGGCTATCCTTACTCTTTTCCTCCAATCCAGCTCTGGGCTATGTTGCCTCTTGTCTGCCCCCACTCCTTGGAATAAGTTCCCTCCATTCTGAGAAACTGCCACTTCACTATAGTCATCACATCAGCGCTCCCACCCCCATAGATTTTGTCTCTCACACCACTGCAGCTCACTGGCATGCATTACATATCTTACTGGCTATCTTCAGTTCTATTACATAACTGCTTTAAAATTTGATAAAGGCAATATGTAGATAATTAGATAAATATCACTTCATTCATGCAGTTTGATAATGATCTTCTTAAAAACATTAAGAGCCTCAAAAATATAAGTAGAAACTATGTTTCATTTTCAACAACAGGAAACATCACATTACAGAATGAACCAAGTCATAAGATCTCCAAATCAACCACAGATGTTTCCAGAATAATGTGTTTATAAAAAGCATTTCCCCTGACCCTTAACTGAAAAGCTTCTTAATAACTTATATACAAGTAAAAGAATAATACTTTCCTATACGTTTACAAAGTAAAGGCCCTAGTCCAAAATGGAAGAGAAAATCAAAGAGAAGGAGGTGGGGGAAGAAAATTAATTAATTAAATAACTGTACCGAACAACAGTAGGACTGGAGGAATCCCAAAAGAGTTAGGCTAGTAGAACAGCATTACTTTTCAAATCCCTCTGCTGTATCCTGTAAGAAAAGATATTATATTGCCTGGTAGTTTTATTCTTTTAAAAAATACAGTGGGCTAATCAACTCTGGTAATCACATATATAATTAGTAATACTAGCAGAATAGATACGTGAGCAAAATTTTAACTTAAGAAGAACATTTTACACCAGTATTAATGGAATGATCACACTATATTTAAAATGGTCAAGATAAGATTTTTTTTCAGAGTGAAAATTTATAATGAATCTTGAATATAAACAAAGCTAATTTTTATTTTACTCTGCCTGCCTGCATGTACAGTAACAAAATATAATTTTTATTTTCTAAAAAGTAGTCTAAAGAAATTGATATTTTGAGTCAAGCATTACTAATAGTAACAGTTTATAAAATCTAGGTCAATTCTTTTACCTCTCACGGCAGGGGTAAAATAATTGATGTTTGACAGTTTGAGCTAATGCACAAGATTAAAAGGAAAAAAGAAAACTGATGACAAAAAGACAACTTCTATCATATACGAGGGCAAGGAGGGGAGGAATTGAGAAACTCTTACCCTAATCTTCCATTATGGATACTCTGAACCTACCAATGTTGCAGTACTAGCAGTATACTTCACACAAGTACAACAACACACAAACATACCAGAAGCCTGCTGTGCAGCCTGGATTCTTTGTGTCTTTAATTTCATTAATTAATGGGCCTTACCACACAAGTGCTGTAGGCAATACATTAGGAGGAAGCAATCAGATAAAATAGCCAGACTAATCAGTAATAATCTATCAGTAAAACAAAGGAATCTTTTCAGAAGTAAAGTAACAGCAAAGATGACTCTTCAATTCTTCTACCCTCATTGTTTAATCACTCAAGACAGGTGCTTTGCACTGCCTAAAGGTAGGAACAATCCTGGACAGATGTTTGACTTTTTTATTTATCTGGGCCAGTCAAACTCTAGCTTGCTTACAAAAGAAAATCTTTGTTTGGGAAATAGTGTTCAGCAGTGATTTCTGGCTAATTCGGACAAAAAAATGAATGAAGGCTGGCTGACAAGAGCGGCAGCTACAGACCATCCACATAAAAGATTACATATATAAGATCATTCTCATCCATGTTCTTAACATAAAATTTTGGTTATACTTGTAAAATTTGATTTTCCCACACCTGAGATATGCTTTTGAGAGCAAATAATCCCAAACAGCATTTTGGTAGCTTTAATAACATTTGAAGTAATCTAGGATGGGATAATATTTATAATATTAAATTATTTTTCTATTTTCAGTCAGTTGCCAAGGTTTTTTAATTGGAATGAAAGGAAGGGACACAGTAACTGACAGTCCAAAACCAAAGTTGTGATTAAAACCTCCAAATCAATTGTGCGAGCCTAACGTTTTTTTTAAAAAAGTGTTCCTCTTTTCACATCTATGGCAGCAGTTCTACCATAAGTAACTGTGATTTATGGCTCCTGGTTACTCAATGGAATTTTCTCGCCTCACATCTATTTAGGTTGTGATCTGGAAGAGTTAAAATACTAAGCATGCCTATTTCCTTTGGTTTTTTTGCACATGATTACTCTTTGAAAAGCTGACTGAAAGGGAAGGAACAGAATAGACTATTAAATATCTAAGCAGATTGCAGCCCTAAAGGAAATAAGCCCATAACATAAAATTAACATGAAACACTGTTTCAGGTTCACTGACTTTCTTCACTCACAATCAACACATCCAGTAGAGAAACATAGGAGGACATATGGATCTGAAAGGCAAAGATGTGACAATGAGAAAAATACATAGAGAAAGGGCTTCCTTATATTTTTGAATTTAATGCAAATGATTTTAGTAATCAAATACTAATAGCACTAGCAGATGCCAAATTTACATGAAAGAAAATTAGATTTCCCCTAAACAATTTATCATTAAAATAGGTGGATCATATTTGATTCGCTGATTTGTTTAATTAACACAGACATAGGAGGAATTTCTACAAAGCCATTTATCTAATTTGTGCCTTCAATAAGATTTACGCCAACAATTTCCTGGATGACAGCCCCACATTCAGTTATTGCATCGCACTACTGTCCAATATAATACCAATAATAAAAGGAAATAGGCATTGCACATTTTCATTACTCATTTTTCTGAGTTCTCTTTTTTCCAAAATTATGATTAATTCAAGTAGGTAAAAGACAGCAAATAAAATTGCTTTAGATTCCTACCAATTCTTGCTCTCAGACAGGTGGTAGTTTGTTAACTTATACCTTTAGTTTTATGAAATGTATTTAAATAGAAGATGTTCTGTACAGTCATTAACATACTTGTAAACGCCGTTCGGTGATTGGTCAAGATGCATGGCGAGCTGATTGGCCAAGCGAGCCGCACTCATTGGCCCGCCGCGAATCTCCCGCGATTGGGGGAAACTAATCGCGGGAGATTCAAAGTGGTGCCATTGGCCGCGGCCGCCGCGGCCAAGGAATAAAAGCCGCCGTTTTTCCTTTGGAGCCGAGCCGATCTCGGGGACTAATAAAAGAGCTGAAACCAAGTCACTGGCTCCGAGTCTCATTTCCGCGACGGACATAACACTGGCGACGAGGATGGGATCCCAAGCCTGATTCCCATCGAACACGTGTCCGGAGGAAACGAGACGACGAGATGGCCAGCATCTCACCGCCCGTGCCCTTCAACCCAGCTACAGAGGATTGGGAATCGTACACCGACCGGTTCCTGATGTTCCTCGAAAGTAGCAACCTAAAGGACGCAAAAGGGCAGAAGAAAAGAGCCGTCTTTCTAACACACTGCGGGCCCGCAGTGTTTAAGATGGCAAAAGCCCTCGCGAAACCCGAGGACGTAAAGACAATGGACTGGGCCGATCTCGAGCCGTTGCTCCGGAAACACTATGCCCCCGCCGTGCCCACCCTCATCAGGCGGCACGATTTCTACCAGCGAGACCAGAGAGCGGGCGAGAGCATCAGCAATTTCGTGGCTGACCTACGAAATCTCGGGGGTATGTGTGGGTTTACGGACATGGATGAGGCACTCCGAGACCGCGTCGTCCTGGGGCTCAGGGATCCAGTCCTACAAAGCCGACTGATGGCAAAAGGCGACGTCGCCCTCACCGACGTCCTCGCAGATGCCACCGCAGCCCAAGCGACCCGGAAATCGGCGGCTCGAATGCGGAGACCAGACGCCGGAGACCGCACCGCAACCACCGAGGCAGGCACGGCAACCGAGACACACTCCGAAGCAAGCCGCCGAGAGACCACCACCACACACCATGGCGACCTCGACTCCGTTTCCGACACCACGGACGAGGAAGAGGACATCCATCGGCGCGATCGGTGGAGTCGTAAGTCGGGACCCCAATGCGCCGGGTGCGGAGGCGACCATCCTCGAGCGGAGTGCCGATTTTTCGATGCGA